ATGACAAAAATTCAGGAAAAATGAAAAATGGGGAAAAATGAAAACATTACAAATTAAGTCCTAAGGGGTGCTTTGTCACTTAATGCCCTAAGACCATCTGGTCTTGGAGTCGTTGGCTGAAAGTTTGTTACATAGGTGATTTAGAAAGCTTAATAGACCTGAACATTGCACAATATCCTTTTTGAAAAATGCATACTCTTTAAAAAAAATAATAATGACTTGGGAGTTGAAATTTGAAAAGTTTGTCTGTGAATTGAGGAATAAATACAAGTATGAGCAGCAAGCCACACGTTTAATTGCAAGATCACTTTCAAAAAGTGTTTTGGAAATTAAGATTGTTGAATGAATGATTAAACTGATATATGGGGACCATGGCTGTTAAATTGAAATTGAAAGTTAAAAGTTTCTCTGATTATATGATTGTTTGTACTTGCTATATTTGACTAATTAATGAGTTGTAAGGATATTATGATTTGAAAATAGGCTTGAATAAGCTTGTTGTGCTATTAAGGCATTGTTTAAGATGTTTGTGGGTACCATCACTGGAAACTCTCACGAGACTATAACTCGTCCACTAGGGGTAACCTAGGGGTTTAAAGGCTTGTTGTATAGGCTAAATGCAACCGTGATTCCCACGAAAATGGCTTTTTAATTCTGTATTGCTAAGGGACTAGCAATATGTAAGTTTGGGGGTATGATGAGTGCTGAATAATGCATATTCAAGCCCTTAAATATACGTATGTTAAGGCATAAAGTAATACTTCTAGCCATAGTTAGACTGATTTATGTTTAATATGTGTTTATAGGTACTTTCCTAGAGAAATGGCTAAAACTGGGACTTTATGATGATATCGAAGCTTACAGAGTCGCTGTTGATCATCCAGAACAAGCCGAGACCTTAAATGGTGAAATTTGGAAGAATTCAAGAACCGGAGCTCGAGCCCAAGTCCTAAGGCTCGAGCTTTGCAAGAAAAAAAGAAGAAAAGTCAACAAGGCATTAAAGCTCGAGCCTTGTACCTTCAGAGCTCGAGCCCTAGCAAAGGGTGCTTGAGCCTTACCTCAGGGTGCTCGAGCCTTGGCCCTCAAGCTCGAGCACAAGGCATCGGAATTTGAAGAGTTAAAGAACTAAGCTCCCAGGGCCTTGTGCCAAGACTCAAGGATCGAGCACTATCATTCAAAGCTCGAGCTTGGTACCCAGTACTTGAGCCCATGAAGCTTGGATCGGGCAATGTTAAAAGATTTCAATCCCAAAAATATTTTAAGTGTTGAAGAAAAAGACGCTTCAAAAAATAGTTGAAGAAAATTGGCTAAGTGTCAAAGTGAAGATCGAGCACCATTCTTTGAAGCTCGAGCATTAGTCTAAAGAAGCTCGAGCCTTGTTCCCAAAGCTTGAGCCTGAACCTCAAAGCTCGAGCTCTACTTCCTAAAGCTCGAGCTTTCTATGACATATTAGATTTTAAGTACGGGATTATTCCTTCTCAAGTCGTATTTCACTCCACATAGGTCAGAAGACCTAAAAGCCCACCAGATCCTTATTTTCTTCTATAAAAGAAGGCATAGGCCTTGATAGAAGAGGTCTGAAATTTCAAGTCCTTTTTCTCATATTATTCAGAAGGCTGATACTATGGTGGCTTTTAGGGTTTCCATAAACTTAGAAGGTGAAGATCCTGAGAAGAGAAGTGTCGTCCGTGACGATGGAGACAACTACAACACAGATGATATTCGACATCGTCATGAGTAGCTAATTCCTCTCTTAGGGCACTGATGTAACCCAATCTAGTACTATGGTTTGATTATTTTAACTCTGGGATATTTTTAATATATTATGCTTTTGATTGTATGATTATGAGCAATTGAGACAACTCAATTGGATTTAATGTTTTAAATAGTTTTCAAATTGTTATAACCTTATCTTAGATATAACTATTCGTTTTCTATTCTCAACCCATTCTTATTGGACGGTATCTGGCGGAGCCCTGCTGGACATAAGAATGGAGGTCATGTAATAGTGTTCTAACGTTTTTTATAAAAGAATATTTTCATAGTCTATGCTTAGGAAAGAGAGATTGTTTACAAAGTAGTTAAAGTAGGTAGGTTGATAGTCCATGCTAACCGCAACTAGGTTATAATTAACTGCATTTTATAAAATATTTTTCTTTAAAACCTTAATTGAATGAATGTTATTGAGTTCAATTCATTTGAAATATAATGTAATTAAATCACCAGAGTTGAAACAGTTAACCATAGTTACAAAGGTTGTGGTGAAGTCAAAGCCCTAAGACCTCTCTCTCTCTGATCACTCTAGTTTAATTTTAGTTTACTTTCAGTTTATAATCGTAACAACCAAGCAATCAATTCAATCAGTTACCTGTGAACCAATAAAAATTAGTTAAAAGCAGAATATAATAACTCATCTCCCTGTGGGTTCGACACCATCTCTATAGTGCTATCTTATAGGGATTCGTGCTGTTGCGAGTGATAAATTTATAAGTAGTATGCAAAAACACACAACAGTGATCGATTTTACTTCTGTTCTTCAATATCTGAATTTGATGTAGAAATAGATCTATTTTTCTCCAATTGTCGTAGATGCAAGTGTATGATCACGATCAGGATTTGAACAATACAACTCTAAATTCACTATGTGTTTATGTGTATATGTTCTAGAAAGATGACAAAGAAATCTCTTGGATTTTCTGCAAGAATAATCTTCCTAAGGCTTTTACGAATAATGAAGTTGTAATACTAAAGCCATAAATAAACCTAGATGTGTATCAGGGTTTATATAGAGTTTTCAAAATCTTATTCCTTGAAATTTCGTGTATAGGACTTTTGGTAAACTTCTAAACCAAATAGGAAGTTCAAAACTGATCAGGACTAAGTTTCCATAAACTGAAACAGTAGTAGTACCAGTAGGAGGATCTTGGTACCAGTTCCCAAATGACAGAATTGATTTTTCTCAAATCTCAACTTCTTGAATCGGTTCCCAAATTCAAGTACCGGTTCCCATTTGACAGATTCCAATTTGAAATTGGATTTTTTGTTTTTGGTAACTCTGGAAAATATACCTTGTAGGTATTTGTGTCCTAAGTGAGAAACGATTTCCTAAAAATGTTATTCTTTCCTTTTTAATAATCAACAATATTCTTCTTCTGAACAACTTTCCAAATTCCGCAGTCAATGTCGATGTCGATCCTGATATGGTACCTAAAATTACAACTCGACTAGGTCTTGTTTTGTTACCGAAATATATCTCACACTCCTAAATTCTTGTCAAATCATCTCCAGTGATGATCATATCATCAACATAAAGTAAAATAAGAATGATACCCCGATCTGTGCGTCAGAAGAATAAAGCTGAGTCATAATAGCTAGCAAAGTATCCAAGATGAGAGATAGTCTGACTGAATATGGAAAAATAAGCTCGAGGTACCTGTTTGAGGCCATATAGAGCACGTCTAAGTTGACACGCCTTATTAGGAGGATGATGATAACCTGGAGAAGGTTGCATGTAAACTTCCTCGTGTAAATCACCATTGAGAAATGCATTTTTAACATCTATCTGAAAAAGTCCCCAATGAAGGGAAGTAGCTACAACAATAAGAGTGCAAACAGAGGGAAGACATGCAACAGGGTCAAATGTCTCATCAAAATCAATACCATACTCCTGTGTGTATCCTCTGGCTACAAGTCGGGCCTTGGTGGCATCGGGACAGTCTAGGTCTATACTTTCACGTGATATGATCAGAAGTGCGAAAGGACTTGTGGAGGACCTATTTTTGACACCAAACAGATTGTGAGTTCTTGGCAGGCTTATTGGAACACAACCAAGAAATTAAAACATGAAAAATAAAGAAGAAGAATGAATTGAGGGCTCTGATACCATGTTAGGAATTAGAAAGAGAGAGAGAGAGAGAGAAATGCAATGTATTGTATTGATATGAAATGATAAATACAAGAGAACAAAGGGGTTTATATATGAGAGGTTATGTGTGGAGAGCAAGTAAACCCTATATACATGATAACGAGGATAGGTGAAAACAGCTTACCCGGCCTAACCTTAGTATACAATTTACAATATTCTCTAGCAGGTGCATTGAAAATTAACAGTTAATCAAATTTATTGCTATGGGTAATACACTGAACAACTAAAGGATCATATGCAAGAATGAGCCTCACAAGCAGCCTCTATTTTGCGACACACTAACCCCAAAGTACTGTCCACAACACTTCAACGGCACTTTCCAGATCGGCCTATATCCATCAATCCATCTTCGATTATCTTCCCCAGATTTGGACCCTCTCCACTAGTTTCTCTCTCCAAACCATCATCAACAGTTTGAATTTGTGTGTGGAACCATAACATAGTGAATAGTTGCATGATTGATGACGTGACAATCGTATCCATTGGATAATGGCTTGGAGATGCTTGGGTAGAATATATCCAAATCTTATCGTCCCCTAAAGATTCACTTGTCAGAACAAATGCAGGGTTTTACTTTGCTTGCAGTTCTTCATTCCACATAACAGTAGGTGGGGTTAGAAACAACATCCACGATCAACATACCCTCCTAGAGGGAAAGTTAAATTCCAACTCAGAGAAAAGAATCAAGGAACACAATTAACTATGCTAAGGGTATATAGGATTCCTATGAATGTGATGATATTATCACTAGTTCAAAGGCTCAACACAAAATTGGAGTCTCTGGGAGATAAGGGCAGCCACATATTAAAGAGAGTAGTCATTTGAGGTCAATGGAAAATGCGACACAATAAAATGTCTAATATACATTCATCTGTGAAAGCTGATTTATTTATTTATTTTTTTCAAGCTCTATGAGTTCTTTACTTCTTTTAGAAGCCAATGCTTAATCAGATTACCATTTCTTTTCATGGGAGTGTAGACATAAACATACCACCCCATGACAATGGTGAATCTGTGAAATCAAGTTAAACGAAAATAAGCATAAGAGTGTGTAGACAAGCTCATAACCAATTACTCAAGCCAAAATGGAAGTCAACCTTCATTGTATTACTGAAAAACAAAACATTTTCTCAGGAAAAAAAAGAAAAAAAAAAAAGAAAAAGAAAAAGAAAAAAGCAAAAACATTTAGATGCAACTCAACATGGAAAGACAGAGAGATTGTGCTTTCCCTTTCATGGCTCCTGCAATGGAGGATTGTTCTCTGTTGTTGTCTTCAATTTCTTGGCATGTTCCTCATTGATTCCATCAACACTGCCTGATCTAGTACTACTGTCCACTATGGGCAATTCATGGGGCATACCTTTCTGATCACCTTTCGAGATTAAATAATCTTTGCTTTTTCCCCACACCACAATGTACAGACCCGAGACTATGACAATGGCTCCGATTAAACTGAGATCAAGATCAGCAAGAAAACTACTGTGAGCTAACTCGATTACACAAAGTCACCAAGTGGTTCTACGAAAACATATGATATATAACACAATTGAGTTTCGAGTTGAATATATGTAACAACGAAAATAGGACTGTTGCTAATACCTTCCAAGATGAACTTGCTCAGCCAGAACAATGACCCCGAGAACAGCAGTGATGATCATGCAGAGAGGGCTAAACGCTGTCACAAACACCGGACCTCTCTCCTTGTTTACCATGCCTTGCACATAATATGCAATTCCAGAGCAAACTACCCCCTAATCACAAAGTCAGCAGAGTTAAAGGTGAATTGTGGAGGCTTGATCTGCCAGTCCAAATATAGCTTCTTCAGAACAGAAAACAAGAATTTTAAACCAAGCTAATAAATTGATTAAATTGATATTGTTATGATAGGAGAAAAATATAGAATTAGAATTGCACTGGGAAAACTAAACGGTTAGGGTTAAAATCGTTTCATTTGGGTTCGCGGTAATTTGGCATATTTTACCATATCTTTCAAAACTGCAACTGGAAATATTTCCCAGGGCGTATTACTAACTAGGCATGTTACTGTGATGAGTAGATTTCTTATGTAAAATGGCCCTTACAGAGTAAACTACAGCAAGAAGCCTCGAGTCCCAACCAAGTGCCCAGGCGCCAATGTCGTGTTCCATTACAAGTGCCACAACTCCGGCTTCCAGGATGCCCATCAAGCATACCAAAGTCGTCAGAGTGAGTGGTGCCGGGTATTGCTTCAATGTAATTGACTGAGGCAAATGCACACCAATTAGAAATAGTTTGTGACAAATTAAGCAAATTTTCTTTCAATACAACTAGTGGAAGTTCTTTAACTATAAAAAAAAAAACTAGTGGAAGTTGGATAATATCAAATGTAGGATTGAAATTTCCAAAATTCAGATCAACCCACCATTTGTTTGTATCAAAAGATCAATTGTAACTACTAGGGAGTAAATGATAAAGCTTCTAAATAATATTCACCAAGAAATATATTCAATTCCGTCACTTATATAACCATGCCCAATCCATTTAACCTCTTTAATAATCCTTTTAACTTCTCATCAAACAATGTAAAATGTTCAAAACCATACACAAGGAGAGAGAACTAACTTGCAATATGAAGAAACCAGACCAACCACAGGTAGAGGCTAGGACCATAATCGTCCCGGTAGCCCAGTGCTGATCAGCAGAAGTACTGGTGGTGGTGTTATGGTGGTTCCTTCCTTGCGAGTTCCCGAGTATATCCAAGATGGGGCCTTTATATAGAGTCATCACCGTAGCTCCTGTGAGTGTGATTGAAGTTCCAATGACCTTTGCTACACTATGTTTCTGCTTCAAGTTAACCCTCTCCAACCTAATCAGATAAAGCATACATGTTACATATATCCTGATGAAAGCAGAGCTTTGTAACAAGAGTATAGACTTTGCACCAGATATTAGTATACCATCATTCAAGTTCATGTTAATTTTAAGTGTTTTGTTTTGTTTTTTTTGTAAATTAATTTTAAGTTTCTTATGAAAAATATAGGGAGAGTAGTATTTCAGATATTCAAGATAGTCGTGCTTGTCTAATCATGAGGGAATTGACGGGTAGAAATAGTTTATGGGTTAGTAGAGTAGGGAAAACACCGAGGGTCACTAGTAGCGAGGATATAAGCTCATGGTTATAGTAGAATCTTTTCACGGATAGTAGAATCTTTTCTCATCCATGAATGTTGGCTTTCATTAGATCTTTGTGCTGGCGAGCTTTTGGGTGGACACTTGAGCATCCATATCATTCATCAAATTGGAAGATTCTTATGATTGTGTTTGGTGGACCCAATGCTTTCTGGGTGGCAGGCCACCAAAATGCATGAAACTTTATACACTAGAGGGCTAGCTCAACAAGTTCACGATATGAAATGATTGAATCTTTACCTGAAAATGATTGCCAATATAAAGGTAAGGGCTGGGAGGACATTAACAATGGCAGATGCAAATGATGCTGATGTTTTCTTCATCCCCAAGAAGTAGAAGTCCTGATCAATCACTGGCCTGATAGTCAAACAGACAGTTAGAAACATTAATTTAATTGACTTGCAGGTGTCTAATAGCCAGAATTATGGAGGGTTCCATCTTTTTTTAAAATTAAGTAGTAGAACGTCGAGGCTAAAGTTCAAGTTCCAAGGAACACGTAGCTGTTTGAGTTTCTTGTCAAATAAAAATAAATAAATAAATATATGTCACCGGATCTTCTATATATCATATTTGAGAGTGACAAGAAAGAAAAATGGAAATGACAGTCTTCTAGGTAGAAAAACTATTCACATTATTTCATACAAAATGGTTGCTTTCATACTCGAATTTATTTTACTTGGGAATCTAAACTTTTGTAATACTATGTTTGGTCCAAAGTTGAAGCTAAACTTTTATTAGTACACAAAAGGTACCTGTAGTTTTATATAGTACCTAAAAATCTGAAGGTATAGATCAGGTTTTTAATTAGGAAATGAGTTCAAAAGATTTAGTTAACTTTACTGTACGGTTGAGATTAGCCTTTTAGAATGCCAACGAATATTAGATGGTTCTTAGTTCGTGAAGACATAGAGGTGCATATGTTCAAGTTGACATAAATAAATATATATATATATATTATGTATGTATAAGGTGTTTTAGAGAATTACTCCAAAAAACCAAGCGCTACTACTTTCAGGAAGACCGAGGGTGTCAGCTTTGGCCTTATTTTCCTGCAACAAATATAACAAATGATGTCGCTCAATTAGTATAAAATGAACAAGATTATGTATTTTTTACATGCACACACATAATAATTGAGAGTGGGCGTTGGCACCAATATTGTAAATTTGCTCCATTATGACCTGGGTTCCCGAAACAATATACCCGCGTAGAAAAGCAAGGTTAAAGTTATATATATATATATATATACACACACACATGACAGAAGTATCGAGCACTGCGCTACCTCTATATATATATACATATATATATATCATACACACAGAAGTAATTTTGAAGGGAGAGAAAAGAAAAACCTTTCAAAAAGAAATGCGAATGGAGCGATAACAATGGAGGCGACTACATGGCGGTACACGACGAAGACGTAGTTACTAATGCCATGCTTAAAAGAAACCATGGTGAGTATGTACATCCCTGCATACCCAAACTGCAGGGAGACAATAGCCAAGTAGGGTTTTATCTTAATGAAGAACAAGCTCAGCATTCCACTTGGCTTTTGGTCTCCCATTTCTTTCTCTCTCACTTTCTCTCTCCCCAAACACAATTACTTGTAGGTTTGTAGAAGTAGTAGTACTGAACCAAAATGAGAAGTGGTGGCCTTTTATAACCACAAAGCAAAAATAGTGAAAAACCAACTATACATTGTTAATGTAGCTACTTTTAACTTCTTCCTATAGATTCCCTCATCCATTAACCAAAAAAGGCGCTCTGTTTCCAAGCAATTACTAGAATCTTTGGTATCAAAAAAAAGATTAGAGAGAATTTTGTGTGTCTCTCTCTAAAAACAATTCTTTTCATTTGTTTTTTGGGTAGTGGGGATTGGGATTCATTGACCAGCAAGTGATGTTTTGGTTTAGTGCTTTGGGATGATGCAAGTAGGGTTTTGGTGTTTGTGAAAAAAAAAAATTGGGTGGTATGAAGAGTGGACACCATCTTTTAGAAAATGTGTCTTAGTGAACTCATTGATTGGGGAAAATTGACATGCATGTATGAAATTAAAAAGTTTTGATCTCAATTACACAAGTGTTAGTGCGATGACGACTTTCATAATAGATCATGTTAAATAGCTGATCAATTATGACCATGTGTGTTTTTTTTCGAACGGTATAATAGATCATGTTAAATAGCTGATCAATTATGACCAAGTTTAATATAAAAATATTGTATAGATATAGAAATATGTATCATGCCGATCATACCACAATTGCATGAGTTAGATTGTCAAATACGTCTATGATGGGTACTTAACTTCTATATTAGCCACATAAATTCGGCATCTAGATCACTAATCCTTTTAGTGCTGACCACACAAGCTATTTATGATTTTTCTCTCTATCCTAGATATATATGTTATGGCTATAATTGATACTTACAATGTGACATATTAGTTACTCTTAATAGAATTTTATAAGGTGGAGATCGAAGAGATTGTCATCTCACTCTTGGCCATTCTTATTTGGTAATAGCCTAGTTTGGATTTTATTTTTATTTTTATTTTTATTTGTTGGAGTCTTAAATATTATGGACCAGCTATTCCAGTGGACCATTACTTAAATGATTTAACCTTCCTTCTCTCAAAGAGGAAAAAAGGGGTTTGAACGAGCAATATACGTGTGAGTACATATTTGTTTAAATATATATATATTAGTATCTTTACTTGGTTATGCAGAAAGTATCGCTACACAGGAGAATAAGAGGAAATAGTGAGTATTCATTTTACGAGGAATGCTTTTTTTACATATATCTGCCATGTCATAAGAAAAAAAAGGGAGTAAAACGGCAACTGTCATCACTTTCACAATAGTAATAAATGGTGGACGTTGATATATGCGACAAGTTTTTTTAGCTTTTTATGATAAATATGCCTTTCAAATTATCGTGAAAACACTTTTGTCCAATGTTTGTTGTGAAAAAAAGATAATTATATCCCTAACTAAAGAAAATTAGATCTACGAAAATGTTGTAAGTTGGGAGTTTAATTATATTTTCACAAAACAAACATTGAAAAAAAAAATATGAATTTGCAATAATCCCTCCATTTCTTGATAAAACAACTCATCAATATCATATCTCTCCCAATGCTCTCGCACGCTAATCCTCCCTCTATTCACAACCCCATCCCAAACCATCTCAAACCTCCATTCTCTCAATCTCAAATATCTCCACAACCCACCAAACAGTTCCAACCTCCCACATCTATCCTCAAGAGACCTTAGTACTCCTTAAAACAGAATCTCAAATCACACAATACTCATACAGCAACCCATAACACCAAAGCATCACCAACTCACAAACCAAAACAGGTTACATTTGCTGATCTAAAATCAACCCATTGCAAATCCAAGTTTATTGATGATCATAACAACATTCTTTGGAATGCTGATCCGAAGAATACCCAAGCCATGGTTGATGAAATATTCAGACTCAGAGTGGAGCTGGCTGAATACAGGAACAATTACAAATATAGTTATCTGCTTGAAGAGGTTGAATGGCTGAGGGGTATCATTGGGGTTGGACTGGAGAACCAGAGAACCCTAAGAGAAAGGAACACAGAACTAAGTGATTAGATCATTCAACTTAATCACATTCGCGACCATGGTGATGATAACCATCAAAGTGCACTACAATCTATGCCTTCCCAATAGTACGACACCACCACCTCACATCTGAAACACCACTGCAACGGTCAAGAAGCCGCTTCCACTGATGACGTTGTAACAATTCAAAATTCAAATTCAAATCCCCTTGTTACAGGTATGTCCCTACCTCAACTTTTACCAACTCCCCATGCTTTACCTGTTATGGTGTCATGCCCTATGCCTACAACAGATACACAATCATCACATCCTACTTTAAATAGTTCAAATCCCATCAGCAATCCATCTAGTCAAACTATTTATCCAGAAAAGCCTTCCACAAGTGATACACAGGTCACATCCCCAACCCCTTCACACACTGGTTAACAAACTACAGGTTCTTACCCCTCTACCCTGGGTACTTCCCCAAATGAACCCACATATTCAACACCATGTTTGGCTTCACCTCAACCATCTGAACATCACATGTCACAGATACCACATCCCTATGATAATGCACCAACTTGGGTTTATATTGTTATTAACGCATCACCAAAATTGGCACTTAACTACCACCACCACCCATAGAATGAGGACGCCATCTCCCTCCCACCTGACATTGAAGATTCAAGGTTAGCTAGAATGAAATGCAGTTTCTTGGGTCTCTTTGTTCACAAAAAACTCCCATTTGGTTTGGTTAATGACATCTCCCGTTCCCTCTGAAGTGACACGGGACTTATCAAAGTTACTAGTTCTGTCAAATGACTCTTTGAATTTCATTTCTCATCACCTAAATAATGTAACCTTGTTCTAGCCCAAGGTCTTTGGTTCTTTGCCAGCCGGCCCCTTATCTTAAGAAAATGGGAATCTGAATTCAAGATGGACAACCACTCCTCATCTTGTCCTATTTGGGTCAAAAATTTTGGGCTCCCTTTGCACTATTGGACCTCACCTGGACTTAGCTTTATTGCAAGTGCCATTGGTATACCAATCTGTGCTAATGCAGTTACTGAGAGCAGATCTAAAACCAGGTTTGTAAGGCTTTGTATTGGCATTAATTGTAACTCATCCTTTCCAACATCATTGAAACTTAAGCTTTACTCAGGAAATGTTATTAGCATAAGACTTGAATACAAAAATGTCCCCATCATTTGTTCCAAGTGCAAATCCTTTAGCCATCATACACATCATGCTCATAACCCCCCACCCACCACCACTTCCAATCCCTCAACCAAGTCAATAGAATGGCACATGGTGCCCTTTCAAAACCCCCTCAGATGACCAAACAACCAACCTCAACACCATCTTCATCCAAAAACACCATTATCCATTACTTCACTAACAAAGAGAAACTAGTCATCGATTTAGCTTCACTGGGACCATTATCGTCTTTCAAATCAAGTTACACAACCCCTGCAATCGAAGTACTCTCAGATGATTAATCACAATATGAAAATAGAGATGGAAATGAAGAAGACCCTGTCTTAGAATACTCCTCACCAGATTCACTTATGCAGAAACAAAACTAAGTTAACCCTACCAGCATTGTCAACACAACCACCAAAGTAAAGAGAAAGCGCAAAGGATCAAGTGCATCTAGGAAAGGGATAATGCTCCCAAGTGGTAAATTCTTCAATACTATCAAATAGTTATAGCAGTCTGGAACATCAGAGGCCTTAATGGCTTAGACAAACAGAGGGAGGTTAAAGATCTCATGAGGGACAATAAAGTTATGGTTATGTCCATTGTTGAAACCAAAATTAGCTTGTCTAATATGGATTTAGTTCACAAGTTCTTTTCTAGTTCATGGATGATGAGCACTGAAAAGTGCGCATTTAAACCCATTAAGCTTAAGCATTCTAGTACCTTTATCTATCTTACTTTGCCGTTTTAGACTTATTACGTGTTATTTATATTTTCAGGTAGTAATCCCAAAATTGAGCTAACTCAGCCAAATAAGAGCTTAATTGAAGCAATCCTGAGATAAACCAAAGGAGGGAGCAAAGTGGAGAAAGAAAGGAGCAAAAAGGAATCAAAGTTGTGCAGCTGAAAAGTTCGATCGATCCAACTTAGAGTTCGATCGATCGAACATCTATGATCGATCACAATACTTCTCGATAGATCCAACCTTGGCCTTTGCTGAAATTCCAAGTTCGATCGATCCAACATCACCTTTGATCGATCGAACCCTATTTTGTCCTATTCAAATGATTGATCTTATCCACAGTTGTACGCCTACCAACCACTTTTGTCCTTTTTCCCCATAAATATCTTCGAAATATCTTAGCCTTGTCCTTATCCGGAGGAGTCAGACCACTTCGATAGATCCAAGATGCAGTTCAATCGATCGAACCCATCTTCGATCGATCCAAGTTAAGGTTCAATCGATTGAACTTCTTCCAGCGAGAAAAAGTTAAAGTCCAGCTCATTTATTCGGTCCTTCACCCAATCATTGGAGAATATGCCTTGCACGACCACAGCTCATCATAGGGTGTATTTGACCTACCTATATAAGGATACACTTTTTAGAGAGGAATGGAGAGTCTCTTGTCACACATTGAAAATCATCTTGGAGGCTCTCCTTGGAGAGGAGGAAGGAGGGAAGCTAGAGCACCATTGGAGGAGATCTTCACCAACAAGGAGCAGCCATGGAGTTAGCCCTTGAGGGTTGGATCATCACTACCATGAGTGGCTAGACATTCTCTTGGGGCTAGAGTTAGCCCCAAGCATGCTTTCTATACTCTAATCTTGTGTATTATTGAGGGATTAGTGTTGTATGATACATCTTGATATTCATGTATATATAAATCTTGATTATTTCATGGTTTGTATGGTTTAATGCTTCCAATTGACTATTCTATTCTACCCATATGTCTATATATGCTAGAGTAGGATATTCATGTGCTTATCTCTAGATTTAGTGTTTTTGATGCATGTCTATGTGTATTGATGCTATAGATCTAGAGATTATCAAGATGATATACTTAATGAATGCTATTTTTGGTTCATTTGATGGTTTATGCCTATTCTTGATGGCTTGTACCTCTCCCCTAGTCTAGATAGCTTTATTTTCATGCTAGTAGTGTAGTGGTAGTATAATGTTAGATGGGAGGACAATCTACTCTTGATGTTTGATGTTCCATGCTTGTGAGTCCAAATGGCATATTCCTCTAATATTGTGGTGTAATGAAATTTTGAGCTTAATGAAGGATTAATGACTAGTTATG